CCTCCGTCCCACTCACCATCACTTTTGTCTTTCCCAGATTTACCTTCAAACCCTTACTCTCAAATGCTTTTTTCCATTTCACAAACTTCTCCCTCAATCCCTTTAATTAGACGGAAATTGTTTACAATCGGCCTTGGTTTACCAAGCTAATATCAGACGGCAAGACAACAACAAGTGTGAAACATATGTGGGACTAACAGGAAATGAATTTAAAACCCGGTACAGAAACCACACTGCATCGCTACGCAACCAATCATTGAGAAACGCAACAGAGCTCAGTAAATACGCTTGGTCATTAAAAGACAATAACATCGATTACGACATCAAATGGAGAGTGTTATCGCGTGCTGCACCATATAATACTTCAAGCAAACGTTGCAACTTATGTATTAGAGAGAAATATATTATAATTTTCCAACCACATTACTGTAGTTTAAATAAAAGAAATGAGCTTTTTTCTTCCTGTAGACACAGAGCCAAATCGTTGCTATGCAACAACTAGTTTTAATATCGTAAACACACTCCATTGTTATGCAAATCTGTAGCGCTTATAACGTAGTCTGTTTCGGTGGTTTATTTAATAAAGTCTTAACTCCTGATGAGTGAGGTACTCCATGTACCTTATGAAACAGTACTGTAGAGTGAACTTTACTCATGTAGTCGTGTCTTAATTTCTCTGTCCACGTATGTATATATATATAGAATAGAATAGAAGAATAGAATAATGCTTTATTAATACCGTAAAGAAAGAGTTAACATTTCCTTTTAGGTTTTCAGATTAATAAAGTAAATAATAAAAGTACATGAAATATAAAAATTGATTTAAAAAGAATTCAATTCAATATATATATATATATATATATCATTTAATAGTACATGTCATTGTTACATTTCCCCAAATTACCTATCAGTAATTCAATTTTGTTGAATGTTTTCACAGGTTGTACTGCAAGTGGTTATGTACATAATAGTATCACGAGTGATGGTGGATATCATATAGCTAGCCATATACCATCAACGGAGTTCATTGAACAACGTGTTACAGTTCTCTGACCATATGGAATGTGTTTAAACTCCGACAATAGCATATTGAATGCCTCAGAGTGCATTTATGTTCTCTGCAAGCAGTGGAGTTGAGAGATGATGAACCATAACCGTGCCAAAAGTTGGCGAAAAAGTACTGAAATAAACAGTGCTTGAACAATACATGTTAGCGCAAAATGCTCGAGTGATTTTGAAGAATGAAGTTCCAGCAAAAAGTTTCAATAAGTGGTTAAAACTAAATGCTATGACGTAAGGGCGCTATCGCACAACGAAGTTTATTTTGCCATTATGAATAAAACATATCGTCTCTTTTATTTGGAGTCATTTTCTAATAAAGGTACAACTGTTATTATTTTGAAATGCATATGAATAACTGCCTTTGAGGGTAGATTGAATCATATACATATTCCGGTATAGTATTTTACAATCAAACTGAGCGTACATCAAATACACATTATACACTGTACTGTGTACATCATCATAGCTATGAAATGTACATTCACAAGACATAGTGAGCAATGCCATGTTATTTAGTACATACATGATATATATATGTACATGATAAAACCAACCCACCATCATTATCATTATTTATAAAGACAATTTATTAATGTATATTTTGTATTTATAACAAATTCAGCACTGATGTATAATAAAATATTAACATATTAGAATAAACTGTGTTCTGACAAATACCTGAAAATGGCAGAGAATGATAAAAAAAATTTTTGACTGAATAAAAAATAATAACATTTTAATATTTTCTTTAAAAATATATATGTGGAATAGTATGCAAAAACAAGACGATTGTTGGCTGAAACATCTGTTGTTTGTGATAGCTAGAATTTCATAGATTATACAAGCAGATATATCTGACAGACGTGTTCGTGACAGTTTTTCCAAATACTGATCAAGACAGAATGAGTAGCTGCAATCTGTGCTAGCCACCTTGCATATAAATACTCATAAGTTGGCAGAGGTGATTAATTAAGATATATTTAGAATAGAGTAGAACATTTTTTTAAATTATTTAAAATTATGTCAATAAAAACTAAGCTCACAACTAACACAGATCAACACCTTCTTTGAATTATACAAATTCTGTAAAAACAATTTCTCATCAAGAAGCTTTGGTATCAAACTTGGATACAATCTTTGTTTCTGTCTTATTTACTTGCCATTAACAACTCATCTTCACTCAGTGATGAGACATCTATGGATCCCCTGTTTAGTTAAGTTACATACTTTAAAATACTACACACATGGTTCACAGTTTATTTCTATTTGGACAATAAAACCACCAACTAAGCAGCCAAATCAATATTACATAAAACTTGGCATGTGGATAAATTAAACAAGCTGTAATTTTGAAAATTTTTTGTTTAAATATTTATAAAACATAAAGAAGACAAAACAAATCTCACCAAAATATTTTTTGGGACACAATTACATGGGAAAAGTCACTCTACACAATTCTAAAATTACATGTTGTATGATTTTAAAACTAAGAGTTGTGTAGTCGCTATTTTATAAAACAAAATGGGGACAAGAGAAAATTATCGCCCAAGGTTCGCTTGACAAAACTAAATTTTAATAGATGGCGTCATCGTTTTTCATGTCGGTATACATGGTGTATATGCTATGCTTTCAGTTTGCACATAAAAATGAAAATCAGAGAATAATGATCTGTAATTACAGCTAATGTTGCTTTAAGTAATTCAAGCCAACATGCCACAATTTTTTCCATAAATTAATCAACTCATTTCTGACAATGTTCTGTTTTTTTATGTAAATTATATATTACATTTGAATCTCATGAATAAGCATATATTTATCACTGATTTACAACAGGGTCTGTTAAAAGTGCACTGATTTCGGAATTATTAAATTGGTTATCCAATAATTAGAATCTGCACACTACTCTGATAGAGTAACGAACATTTCAAATTTCATACAAGTATACACCTTCACCCTAAGGTTAAATTAATAGCAATACTAAATTTAATAAGCTTTAATTGTTTTGAATTACTGCAGACCACAGAGTAATTCAGAATTAAAACAATGTGCATTGAAACACTGTTCCCAATCATTAGCGAATAAAATTTGAATACATAATCAGATGGGAAGCGGACGATTACAAGCATCAGAAAAGCATTAAAATTTGAAAGTTTATTATGTATTTCCTGAAATATGTTGCATAATAATCTGATAACCCAGATAAAGCTCTTTGAATGCTCTCAGAGTAAAATTTTAATGACTTAGCATTATGTATTTGGTTCACATGCGCTTAATCATGAAGCCAAACATACGTTTGTCAATTTCTAAGACTGGTAAGTTCATTTTCACTGATCCTTGCAAGATGCTACAATGTGATTATCAATAAGATCAGCCACTTCATTCTCATCATATTCAAGGAGATCTTGAAGGACTTCTTTGCTGTGTTGCCCTAGCAACGGTGGAGGCAAATGAATTGAGTTGTCTGAATCACTATACTTGACAGCTGGTCCTGATTGCAAGGAAAAAAATGAAAAAACAAACAATTAATCTGATAACTACATAGTCGTTAACCTGACAACTGTAGCCTGGGTAAGGTCACTAGTCTGACAACAGTAGACTGGGTAAAGTCACTAATCTGACAACTGTGCCCTGGGTAAGGACACTAGTCTGAAAACAGTAGCCTGGGTAAGGTCACTAATCTGACAACTGTACCCAAATAAAGTCACTAATCTGACAACTCTACCCTAAGTAATGTTACTAGTCTGACAAGTGTAGACTGGGTTGGGTCACTAATCTGACAATTGTACCCTGAGTAAGGTTACTAACCTGACAATTGTACCCTGAGTAAGGTTACTAACCTGACAACTGTACCCTGGGTAAGGACACTAACCTGACAATTGTACCCTGGGTAAGGTTACTAACCTGACAACTGTACCCTGGGTAAGGTCACTAACCTGACAATTGTACCCTGGGTAAGGTTACTAACCTGACAACTGTACCCTGGGTAAGGTCACTAACCTGACAATTGTACCCTGGGTAAGGTTACTAACCTGACAATTGTACCCTGGGTAAGGTCACTAACCTGACAATTGTACCCTGGGTAAGGTAACTAATCTGACAATTGTACCCTGAGTAAGGTTACTAACCTGACAATTGTACCCTGAGTAAGGTTACTAACCTGACAACTGTACCCTGGGTAAGGACACTAACCTGACAATTGTACCCTGGGTAAAGTTATTAACCTGACAACA